TGGGGGCCCCCCAGGGGCCCCCCGAGGGGGCCCCCGGGGGGCCCCCAAGAAAAGGTATTGTTTGTTCAGTTTTTCTCGGAGGAGAAAATGAAGAAAGAAAAGAAGAAGATTATTTGGTGTGTATAGACAGCTCGAGGCCAGCATACACTTCAACAAGCAGCAGCCTGAGCAGCTGCAGCACGGTGTGCAGCTGCAGCAGCAGCAGCAGCTGCAGCGACAGCAGCAGCAGCACGGCGCTGCCGTCCATCGTGACGAGCCCCCGCAGCTGCAGCGCAGCGTACAGCCGCAGCAACAGCAGCAGCAACAGAAGCAGCGCCTGCTGCAGCAGCCCCGCCTCCAGCAGCAGCAGCAGCAGCAGCAGCAGCAAACTGCAGCAGCTCGCTTTCTTTTGCATGGGCGCTGCATGCAGCCTTCCCTGGAATGTCATTGTTTTAGAAATGGAAACTTTTCAAAGATTTTACCTGCCCACTTATCCCTGGATTGAAGCAGCAACTGCAGTGGGTTTTTAACAGCAGCAGCAGCAGCGGCAGCAGCAGCAGCTGCAGCGAGAACGCAGGAGCAAGTGCAGGGTAACGGATGGCAGTGGGATTCCAGAGTTTAGGGTGTAGGGTTCAGAAAGCTAGTGCTTTAAGTCTGCGGTTTAGGGTTTAGGGTTTAGGGTTTAGGGTTTGGGTGGCTGCGCAGGTTCGTTCCTTGAGCATGTTATTTGGGCAGCTGCTGTTTTGCTGCTTGTCTCCTTTTCTCCCCGCCCTTTATTTGGGGGTTGGTGGCTGCATAATAGCAGCAGCAAGTTGCTGCTTCTTGTCTGCTGCAGTGTCTCCTGCTGCTGCTGCTGCTGCTGCTGCTGCTGCTGCAGGCGAGGGCGCGGCTGGGGGCGCGGCCGGCGACGCCGCCGCCGCTGCTGCTGCTGCTGGGGCAGCAGCAGCAGCAGCAGGAGGCGCTGCTGCTGCTGAGGGCCTCGCCTTCCAGCTTTGCTGCTGCTTAGTTGCTGCTGTCTCCTTTTGCTGCTCCTGCCTCCGCAGCAGCTTCTATTTGCTGCTGGCCCTTTCTAAACCCTGTCTCCGGGGGGCCCCCGCAGCAGGAGTACCCTTGGGGGGCCCCCTTTTGGGTCTTTTTTGTTTATTTATTTATTTTATTTTGCGTTCTTACAAACCCCTCACAAGAACTGCTGTTGTCCTTGCTGCTGCTGCTCTGCTGCTGCTGGCAGCAGCAGCGCTTTTCCTGCGTGCCCTCCGCAAGGTGCAGCAGCAGCAGCCGCAGCAGCACAAGGCGCAGCAGCAGCAGCAGCAGCAGCAGGTAGGAATCAAGCTGCTGATGCTGGCCAACTCGCCAGCTGCTGCTGCAGCAAAGCAGCAGCAGCAACAGCTGCAACTGCAGCAGCAGCAGCAGCAGCAGCAGCAGCAGCAAGAATCCGACTGGGCCCAGGAAGGCCGCGACGGCCCTCCAGATGAGACCGCAGCGCTGCTTCACAGCCCTCACTGCCCCCGCAGCAGCAGCAGCAGCAGCAGCAGCAGCAGCAGCAGCAGCAGCAGCAAGGAGTGTTTGGGCCGTTTTGGGGTATATCTGTCTGTCTTTGGAGAGTGCCGCAGCTCTTTAATTTGCTGCTTTCTTTTATCTCTTTCTACTTATATTGTTTATCCCATTCAAGTGCAGCGAATGAGGCCCTGCAGCAGCAGCAGCAGCAGCAGCAGCGGCTGGGGCGGGGGCGTCGACCCTGCGGTGTTTCAGCTGCTGCTGATTGCTGCTTACCACCTGGGGATTGTGTCCGGCCGCTGCTGTTCCCGCTGCTGCTGCTGCTGCTGCTCAATCAGCAGGAAGCTAAGTCCCGCGCTGCTGCTGCTGCGGCTCTCTTTGCCGCTGCTGCTGTGCTGGCTGGAGGCGCTGCCGGGGCGGCTGCTGCCGTGGCTGCGGGCAGCAGCAGCAGCAGCAGCAGCAGGGGTGGGCGGGTCTTCCGCGGGCGCTGCTGCTGCCGCTGCGCAGCAGCAGCAGCTGCTGCTGCTGCTGCCGTGGCAGCAGCAAGCCGAGAAGGCCCTGCTGCTGCTGCTGGACCTCTGCCGCTGCGCTGCTCTCTTCCTTTTTGCTGCTGCTCATGGGAGACTGTCTCTGTGGGGCCTCAGCAGCACTTTTGAGGGGCCCCGCAGCTACAAAGGAAGTGTTGCTGCTGCTGCTCTTTTTGGCCTTTGTGAAGCAGCAGGAGTTGCTGCAGGCACTGCTGTGTCTCTTTCCGTCTCCCCTGCTGCTGCTGCTGCTGCTGCTGCTCACGACCCCGCAGCAGCAGCAGCAGCAGCAGCGCCCACTGCAGCGGCGCTGCAGCGACTCGCGTAACCACCAGCAGCAAAAGCAGCAGCCAATGCAGCAAACCAGCCAGAAGCAGCAGCAGCAGCTAATGCAGCAAATATACCAGCAGTAGCAGCAGCAGCAGCAGCTGCTGCTGCTGCTGCTGCTGCTACTTGTCATTTTCATCTTCTTGATTTTTTTTGCATCAACAGAAATAAACTGA